TAGTACGTGATATGTTCAAGCAGAGACTAGGTCATTAGTCTACACAATACTTTGTTCTCTCCATTAAATGTTTACTGAAACTATTTCGAGTTCATTGTATCAACCATCGCTTAGCAATTATTGAGATAGGGGCGTATATCAACCCACTTTACGTATTTTAACTAAAATATGAGTGAAGGAAGAGTGTAGAATCGAGTGTGATGATCTGTGTAGCATTGTTACTGACTGAGACAAGCTTTTTCATAAGTCAAGATAATTGATTTAAAACCCAATGATCAGGAACAGCTGGGTCCAGTTTTCAATCATCTAAAGGCTACTGACTTTTCTCAGGATCCATCCGTCAACCTTTTAGTTGAGAGTGCTCGCCCAAGCCAATCAAAAGTTTGCCCGATGAATGGCCTTTAGATGATTCAAAACTGGACCCAGATATTCCTGATCATTGGGTAGCCAGTCGATAAAATTGTGTTGAATTCCTAAATATCAATTATTCAGATACTGGTTACAACGATTTATATGTATGATATGTGTCTTAAGTTAGTCACTTATGGTTTATTTTGTTATTGTTGGGTTGTAATCTTCTAAGTACAAAAAGCCCTTTGGATGGCTCTAATTACCTGCATGTGTAATCTTACAGCACCACTGTATTGTAGCAATAGTCCCATCATTAAAGAGAAATATATAGTGGAGATTCAACAAAATTGTTTCAAAAGGTTTCTCAACGGATTCATTACTTTATTTATACATCCACACAACATAAAAGTCTACCGAAATCTGACTTGGGACTGTACCTATATTTAAATGAAAAATTATAAATGTTCTCAGGAAAAAATTAAAAACATTACTGCTGTACGATATAGTTTTTAATGCTTTCAAGAGTGGGGAAACTAACTATGCAACTTAAAATGAAATTAGATTTCATTTGACAATACAAAATGACCGCCAAAATACGATGCATGGAAGAAAATTAACATAAAACTTATTTTAAAATATAGGGTGTAGTATATCGAATTCAATGTTTACAAAGGTAGCAAAACCAAAAATGCAACTTTAAAAAAATGCATTAAAAAAAGTTGTATTACTCTCTCACTTTAATTGTTTCAATTGAATCATGGGTTTGTCTATTTGTGCATGTGATCCCTTTGCACACGCCAGTTGCACTTTAGACCATTTTCCCTGCAGGAACTTCTATTTTTGGAACACATTCCTCTACAGTTGCATTTGATTATCTTCAGTAGAGCCTCTGGTGCTGCGGGCTGATCCATTCTGTTTGGCTTCAATATGGCCATCTTACGCCACATGATAAAAAATCTCATTTTAAGTTGCATATGTAGTTTATTGGCCTTTTTAAAAGCTAAAATCGATATACTACAACCTATTTTTAAAGGTAAGTATTTTTTTATTTTCCCTCCTTGGAGTGTATATTTTGGTGACTTCTATCTTATGACTTTGAATTAGGTACAATCATATTTTAAGTTGCATTTTTTTGTCTTGCTACCTTTGTAAACATTGAATTCAATATACTACACCCTATATCTAAAGATAAGTTTTATTTTAATTTCTCCTTCATGGAACGGATTTTGGCGGTGATTTTGTGGTGCCAAATGAGGTCTAATTTAAGTTGAAGCTGCATATTTAGTTTTCCCACCATTGTAAACATCAATAACGATATATTACACTTTATATATAGCAAAAATGTTTTTAACTGTTTTTTTTTTCTGGGAGCACTTATTATTTTCATTTAAATACCGTACCCTAATATCCGGTACTTCCCCAAGTCAGATTTTGGTAGACTTTTTCTGTGTTGTGTGAACGTATGAAAGTAATGAAAACCGTTGAGAAACCTTTTAAACCAATTTTGTTGAACTTAAACTATTCAATGACTAGACTACAAGCAGGGTTTCAATGTTTGTGCCTTTAAACCCTACTTTTCACGCGTGTTGTTGAAATATAATGAATAATTAGGGTTTTACATTGATATTAATCTGTCCCAGTTTATAATTATTTGTCTAAATACGTTGATCTATGATGTAATATCATAGCAGAGCCTCATATACACTTTGGGATGAGTAGATCAAATAGAAGCGGCGTTGCTTGCCTGTTCCACTATGACTTCGTCAGAACTGTTGACTAGCATCCAAACAAATAAATGGCTTCGCTTGATTAATTCTACAAACATTGTACAGAACTCGGTCCTTAGTAGACACAAAACATATCAAACTAGTTTTGTCTTGAATAATATTCACAAAATATATGAAATTGTTACACACATACATATGTTGTCCTAATTTAATACATTTCATTTACACATAATTTATTACAATCCAGGAAGTAGGTAATTTTATAGAATTTACATCTTTAACATAAAACATGTTTTTTGAAGAGAGAAAAAGAGTGCTAAGGTTCATTTATTCATCTATTATTAATAAATGAATTTTTGGCCTCTGGGGACATCGACACGAAAAGTAAAAAGGTCCCAAGTCTAGGTCTTACCATGAGGCCTGCAGTAATAGCTGTTTCATCCATATATGGGAAATTCACTTAAATAATCCAACAAAATATATACATGCTTTTTTATTATTTTTTTACAAATATTACGTACCCGGTATTGAATCTTCCCATCCCTAATTAATATCAATCAAACCTTGTTTAAGATTAGGTCCTGAGAATTATAATAAAATAATAGTAATAATTGAACACTTTACTTTGAAATGGCAACCATACGAATTTAAAGTACGATGGGAAATGAGCGTAGGATTGATGAGTGGCGCAATCTTGTAGTCTTGTTAGTGACTAAGTTCGACATATGCCTTAGACACAGTGGTTAATTTATAGCCTATTCAGCCAATGGTAACTAAGGGACCTACAGTTTATAGTGGAATCTGAATTTTATGTATGTGGGATGAGGAATTTTATGCATAGACATAGCCTATTATGTAATGTTTAATGGACAAATAAACAATTTGAATTTGAATCTGAACCACATTTTTGCCTTGTAATTAACCTTGTAATTTGCTGTAGACACATTATTATTTGCATGACAGTATTTTCCTGGTTATAGTGAGTTAAGTTTAAAATACTGCTTTATGATAATTTGTACATTCGTTTATTTAAATGTTCTTATTAAAAATGTGTTTAAAGTTATGTATATGTAGTTTTTCAAAAGCATGTTCGAAAGCATGTGTCTATAGCATATGTACTAGCATATTCGAATACATGGATAAATCATTAAAACTTTCGTAAAATATTCAATTTGTTACTCTCGACTACAACATTTATGGGTTTTCTTATACTTAAAGTACTTCATGTAAAACTTAAAGTAGTTACTTAAAGTAGACATCATGCGTCCATCCGATGCTACATTGGTTACTCAGAGTATTTAACTTTAGAGTATTTATATACTCTATAGTTTAACTAACAATTAGCTGATTTTATATGAAAGATAGCTCAATTTATTATGATAGAAACTTTAAACTCATATTTTCTTATAAGCTCACAGGTAGATATTGCTGTAAACCACAAATGCGCATGTATAAAGTAAGAGTAGAATAAGAAATTTTAAATGAACGACTAAAATATAGAGTACTATACCCAATTTTGACCAAACCACGTAACAATATTGCCACGTTTAACACGTTTGGTGTATACAACACCAAATGCTCTAAAATGTATATGAAATCGTATTAATGACTTAAAATTGATATAAGTATATTTTTTTTCGCAAAATTAGAATGAAAAGAGAAGGTCGTCCGCAGTCTCATTACAGTACGATAGCTACTTAAGCTGGTGATAAGGGCATTCTGAGAACACTACATGGGTAGAGTGATCTTATCTTGGTGTTCTTTCATAATTTAAACATAATTAAGAGCACTTAAACTTTTCTATATACGCAGCCTATAAAACACCTATCTTCACGAGAGGTTTTTTAATACATTCAGTAATAATACAGTTAGATTTGCACAAGACATGTAGAAACATAGTCCTAGTTCCTAGAACATATGGTGTTGAAACATAGACCTAGTTTATAAAGGATTAGAACTTTAAAAGAAACTTTAATGAAAGGTTCACACCATCTTTAAATATAAAATCCATGTCATATCAAAGGTTTACGAGCGATTAAAAAACCATTTAAGCACTGATAAAAACATATTTTGATTTCATCCTTTATCGTACAACAGCGTTGCATCTGATTTACAAGAAATATAGTTACATACATGTAAATCTTACATTGTAGTAGACTATTTAATGGGGCATATTATCAATATGGTATTTTTTTTTTATATAAGAATCGATAATTAGTTTGTGTTGTGTTTTAACTCTTATTGTCATAATAAAGTAATCGATTATTGTATCGGGCATACTACAGCTTGATCACTGTAAGTGGAAGTACGAGAAGTGATCAAATAGAATACAAGTTTCTGTTAGGATTGATATACATTTTTATTATGGCCTATTTATTTATGAATATTAAATATACTAACATACATGCATCTAGCTAGTTTTTCCTGAGCACTCCTGAGTCAGATTGTTCCTGTACTCTAAAGTATTTTTTTCCTGACTAACCCATCTGTTAACTAATGCAAGGATTAGGTTGGTAATGTTTTTTTTTCTTTTAACATTCTTGAAAGAATAGAAATTGACAACATATTTTAATTTGATAATCCAACGCTAACGCTACGGTATACTCTTTACACTACGAAAATTAAAGAAACGTTCTACACACTTTTGATGGCATTTTAGTATATTTGAGTCAGATTGATTTCTGCCATGGTAAATTCAGGTTATAAAAATAAGACATTTATAATTTTAACTTCAAGGGCACAAATCGAATGTAAAATACATTGATACAATAATTTAAAAAAATTGTTTGAATCGTTTTAGTGAGTAACTTTTGATTTTCCTAAAAAAGTTATTATAAGATTTATATAAATTTTAAACAGTGTATATACTGGCTATTTAATTTAATATCGTTTATGTCTAAATATTTATTTTGTTTCTCACAGGTTAGGAAGATGAGAAAGCCTGAGCCGCTGCTAACCTCGTGAGGCACATTCTCCTCAATCGACAACATGCCTGCCCGCTCAACCCTGACAGGTAGGTCAACCTAATAACAAATCGTATTTGGCCCATATTAAAATCGTTGCGGCAAATACATCTTTCATGTGTGTAATAAATAGCCTGTACTATACGTATGAACTATACGTATAAGCCTTTTGAATATGTTACTAGTTGCTTTTAGGCCCGGGGTTGTTTTATTTAATTTGTTACACAAGTAAACACTTGTCCTGATCATGTTTACTGGGTGGTAAAAGAACTGCAATTAGTTATCTTAATTGAGTTTGGTTTATTGAAGGCTTTTGAAAATTAGTAATAGCGTTGGTTCTTTTTATTAGAAATAATGTTTGAAACCAGTAAAATCTTTCAAATGATCGGGTTTTCAAATTATTGGACTTACTACAACTCAAAACACTTTTACCAAAAGAGTGATGACTTTATAGTTATTATGGATATGACTTTACCCTATTTCATTCCAGTGGACTTAATGGAGAAGAAACTTTTATAGATGCGCAATAGTTCGAAACAAATTTTGCTGAATAAATTGTTGGTGTATTATAAATGGCATATTTTACTTGTTCAATGAAGAAGCGGTAGTTTTCATCGGACCTCATGTTGAAACCTATAGCAACACCCCATTACACGTTCACGTTCAACTCCCTAGAGCCAAAACCCCCCGTGTATACTTAAATTATATGTGTCAATTTTGTTATTAAATTCATTTATTTTGCCCGAACGCGTTTTGCTTTATAAGATTTCACCTAACTGCGATTTGCGTACATATTATTTTTGTTTGAAACGAATTTCAACGTAATGATATTTTATTTAGGCTATGTAAAATATCATTAAATACTACTAAAAGCTGTTTCATGGTTGTACAGTACTATCATAATTTGGCATTTCTTGTAATAATTAAAAATCTTTATCATTTTTTATATTTTCCATTTACTTGCAATATTATTTACTTTTCACCAGACGTATCTAACTTTAAAGTAAATATAGTTATGAAAGAAACACATTCGTTACATGCATCTAGCTAGTTTTTCCTGAGCACTCCTGAGTCAGATTGTTCCTGTACTCTAAAGTATTTTTTTCCTGACTAAAAACTGTAGTTTTACCTCGTACCGTGAAAACCCGGGGTTTAGAATACGTTAAGTAATTATTCACAACTTTAAATGTGTTTTGAACCAACGTTTCTTCGTTGGTATTTCATAAGCTGTTAGATAGGCCTACCTGTTTTTTACGTATTCTTTTTTGGTTTTGTTATTTAGTTATTGAAAGTTTTAGAATATTTTTACAGTTTTAGTATTACTAGACCAGATATGTGTTGGTTCTACACGGGTTTTCAATATATCACATACATAATAATATCTACCCATACGTAATTTGTTCACTACCGATAATCTTTTAACCGAACGAACTATTTTAGTCTATATGTTATTTTTTTACTTTAAATGCGTTAATGATTTTAAATCAACTATGGTCCATCCACAATTTTTCATAGAGAATTTTATATGACGTCCAAACCGTATTCATAACTTAATCTTCAGAGTTGTACTCAAACCATTATAGGTTTGATTTTTACCACCAGAATCATTCTATTATGATGTATTTGTCCTTATTGTGTTACTCGTAAGATTATTTAAATCTACGACGCGTACTAAACCGCTAACCAACTCACAAAGGCCCTTGTGTCAAGGGAGCTAAACAAGTTAGCAACAATATAACATTAACCGTTGTTGTTGACATAGTAACACGTTACGTTAATTCTATCAAGCCTCATTGTTGAAACAACAAACCAACTTCGCTACAATTCAGACCACAATATTTTTGGCCCTCTACCAGTAAATTGTGCTTATTTGAGCCAAAGAATTTTTTAGATATTTCATACATTTAATGAAACATTATTTTTGTAACTATTAATATAGGTATCTGGCACACATTTTTTATTTTGATATTTTATTGTATAGATTTTCACATCCCGAATAAAAAATGCCATCATATTTTCACCACAAATTAATATTATGTACTAATCTGATAGGTAATATAACTGCTCAATAATGTTTCTCTTAAAGGGAATTCCATTACATTTTGGGGATATAGATAAACTTGTAGGCTAATAACAAGTAGTACCTATTTAGTAGTAATCCATCCTTACCAAGGTGGCCTTTACTTTACTAAGCGCGATCGTTCTAGAAAACCTACTCCCTAGCACTTATACTACAGCAATAGACTAATCCCAATAGGAAATTTGTTAAAATGGGATTGTGTGATAAAATTGCGTTAATCTAACACGATTTAAACTAACCTAAAAAGTTAGCAAACTCCTTTTTATGTCATGAGAATTCGTTACTGTATTAATTTGTACAATGAAAACCCTGTGTACAATGAAAACCCTGAGAATACACACAGAAAAATAAAACAAAGCTTTTTAAATAGTTACCTATCACGGTAAACTATCACTTTAAATTCTGTAAATAAAATATCAGTAATAATTTGTATAGTTTCTGGCACGGCCAGAAAAGTGCAGTTATAAAAACAATTGTTTGAACCGAATACATTATATTCAATATGATCCATACACCAAGATAAATGTGATACAAATTGTAATATCGCAAGGAAGTGTATTGCAATTCCCTCGCTAGCGGGCGCGGTAGAGGGAATCCTCCTACGCATTACCCATGCAAAGTGGTTCTCATTTAATCGAGTCTGTTTCAGATGTAATCTTCGCTTGGTACACAATTTATACAATACGAGAATTCACTGAAAACACATCTGTTAACTAATGCAAGGATTAGGTTGGTAATGTTTTTTTAGTTTAACATTCTTGAGTTAATACAATATCCTTGTTAGCTTATAAGGACTTTAAAACGAAATAATTATTCGACCGCGCATATAGGTATTCCCATGAGACCTTACTTAATGTAGTAAATGTTAATTCCCTAGAATAAAACGACCAATTACGCTAATGGCGTAGATACACACAAATGAAAAAGTAAAAATGGTATATCAAAATGGCCTTACCAATTTAATTAAATAGCATGTGAAGTTTTTTATATATTTTGCCATGGTAAACTAATGCTAAAAAAAATTTATAATTTTTATCTTTTATATATATGGCACAAATCAAATGTAAAATACATTGATACAATATTTGAAAAAGCATTGTTTTAAATCATTTTAGTGAGTAACTTTCGATTTGCCTAAAAAGATTTGTATAAGACGTATAGAAATTTTGAAATTATATAATTTTTCTTAATTCCATATAATTGTTTTCTTCAGAAAATTCTCATTAGTTGTACTTTCGAACTTATTGAACTCCAGAACACGCATACTGCAATATGCATTTAAAACAACTCTTGAACCTTCGCTAATGCCCTTTTTAGTGAATTTCCCATATAGGGAATAAGCTATTACCGTAGTACTCATGGTAAGACCTGGACGCGGGACCGGTTTTTTTTTCGTTTTGAGGTCCCTGGAGGCCAAAAACACCATCCGTTCAAATTCATATATATATATATATATATTTATATATTTATATATTTATATATATATATATATGTGTGTCCGTCAGCACGATAACTCGAGCAAAAATGATCCGATTTTGATGAAATTTGGTACAAACGTGTAAACGTACGTTTATTCGAACGAGTTTACGATCCAGCATGATCGGACCATGGGAACGGGGGTTTACGGGGGTTTTATTGGGTAAAAATAGGTTTTTCCCATTTTTGACCCAAAAAACATAAAATTTAGCAATTTATTTCCAAACCATTTTGTAGAGCTTAAAAAAACAAATAACTTAGTATATTGAAGCGTTATTATGCGCCTAATTGTTACGGAGAAAATTCCAAAAAATTGTAAATTTAAAATTCCCATGTTATTCTTATGGAGAATAAGTAAACTGTTGTAGTTTGCTTGTTTGTGAACATATTTTGATCAAATTTGGAAAATGTTTTTATTTCTTACGAAACTATTCACATAAAAAAAAACAGTTTTACCCTCCCTGATGCAGCAAACCTAAGTACTTGTTAAACTAATTCTATTTAGATCAAGAATAAATGTTATATTTTTAAGTAGACATTTCAGTGTAAATCCATAAAAAGTGTAAAGTCAAATGGAAATTCGCTTAGTCTGCAGGTTTGCTGCGGCGGGGGTATTAAAATAAACAATAGTTGTGTAAAATCTTTTATGCACCTAAAATTTGTGATTAATAAATAGGGATGGGAGTCCAAATTTCATTCCATGTCTTAACTATTACATATGTATTTAATGCTGTTTACCATAAATTAACTTAACGCATGTTTCAAATCCATAAACAAACTAAAAAATCGCATACACCTAAAGCACTAGGTGTTTGATAGTGTTAAAATCTAAATCCACAAAGAACTGAATACCAATCAATATAAATTTTAATTTGATATTCATTTGAAAACTGGTTGTATTTTTAATGTAGTTAATATATAAATATACGATGCAAGCGAGACTGGCACGATTAACTATTATGTTAGTCATAAAAGTTGACTGACAGTAACCGATAAAGGGCGGAATGGCGGGTGGAGCGGTGGGATGTTCAGTAGATGGCATGGGAGGGAACATGGTGGGGGTGGAAAAGCTGTTTGATCAAGGGATAGTTTTAAATTTGATCTGAAGCATTACAGTAATAATACATCGTTAGGATTACAAGTGGGATAAAAAGACTAAATTGGCAAGTCATAAATTGTGTGTCACCAATAAAAGCAATTAATTTGTCACATTACTCTCTACACCTAGTTTATTAAAACAAAATTTGTATTACCTTTACACTCCTCTGATTCGGTACTAATCAGTTCTTGAAAAAACAAAACATCGTTATTTACGTAATGGTTTACAGGCCAAATATCTATGTATAAAATTGTGTTGTATAAGCTTAACTCTAAGTACAAAGTTCTAGCACCCAACAGCACTCGTAGTGTCTTCCTGTACATCACTTGACTCTTAGCCGTTCTAGTTTCGACATGTCTCCTCCAGATATCTGACTTTGACTCTCTTAACAAACT